ATTTTAGAGCCAGAGGCGTTGGCCTCCCTAGCGCCTACACTAGGTTCACCCTACCCTGCCCCAGCATTCAGGGTCTTTCCCAGTGAGACCAGCTCCATCTCCTACAGCCCAACTCCCCTCCTTTCCCCACTTAAGAACCTTCCAGACTTTCCTCACACCGTACCCTCACCACAAGTGCCCTTTCCCCTCTTCTCAGGGAGGTGGACTTCTCTCTACCCTTCCTCAGGGATCAGTTTGCCCATCACCTCCTCTGGATTTCCCACCAGGATTTCCTACCCTCCAAGAGGCAGCAAGGTCAAGAAAAGGGGTTTTGCAGTGAAATAGAAGTCCACTCAAGTGTGTATCTTTTTTTTTTTTTTTTTTTTTTGCGTTTTGGGTCACACCCGGCGATGCTCAGGGGTTACTCCTGGCTTTGCCCTCAGGAATCACTCCTGACGGTGCTCGGGGGACCATATGGGATGCTGGGACTCGAACCCGGGTCAGCTGCGTGCAAGGCAAACATCCTACCCGCTGTGCTATTGCTCCAGCCCCTCAAGTGTGTATCTTAAGCAATCCAAAGTGCCTTTACCTCCCTGAGCTTCAGCCTCCTGTGTAGAGCCTGGGTAATACTTGCCTTTCACAGTGGCCAACTTGCACTAGGACAGACCCTCTCGAGCACTCAACACACGCTCAATGAATCCCAGGCCCTTTTTCGGGATGTTTACTTCTGAGCTGCAGAGGCAAACTTCCAGCACTGCGGCCTACTGCCCTTTGATCTGTTTTACCACCACCAGCTTGCCCCACCCCTTGAAGGAAGGGAACAGAGGCAGGCAGTTAGGTCTGGTGCGGGCCCCAGACCTAAGCAGGGTGGGACCCACGTCTCTCTTCGGTATCCGAAAATTGACTGTTTGAATCCATTACACTCCAAAGTCGGCACACCCAGGCCTCCTCAACCTCAGGGGGAGGGGCGGAGCCAGCACAAGCTGGTTATTCATTGGAGCACACAGCTGTCACTTAGGAAGACCCAGGAGTCTAACTATTCCCGTTCTCCAGCAGCTGAGCGCCCAAGGGATGCATGAAGTTTGAAGGAGGGCCAAGGTGCCTTGAAAGGTGCTGATCTTTGCTTTACTCATTTTTATTTATTTGGGGGTGGAGCAGAGAGGGCTCTTGGCCAAACCATCCCACATTCAGGGCTTACTACTGGCTCTGTGTTCAGGGATCACTCCTGGCAGTGCTCAGGGGAGCACATGGGGTACTGGGGATTGAATCCAGGTTGGCTGCATGAAAGGCAAGTTCCTTCACCACTGTATTCTCTCTAGCCCTGCTCCTTGTTTTAGAGATTAAAATTACATCTAGGAGAGAGAGAGAGAGAGAGAAAGAGAGAGAGAGAGAGAGAGAGAGAGAGAGAGAGAGAGAGAGAGAGAGAGAAAGCAGCCTGGATGGGATCTACAAAAGAGAACAGGGACCTCAAACTAGTCTCTGGAAGCCCCTCCTTCCATACGACGTCAGCAAGGCTCTTTTTTCTCCACGTCACAGTTTCCCTATGTGTAAAATGGGACCGGCTCTCAGGGACATGGGATTAAAATAATACATAGAAAAGGGGTGGGGGAAAGTCAGAGAGATTGTACGGGAGGTAAGGCATTGCCTTGCATCCAGAGGACCCCTGTTCAATCCCCAGCACCATATATGGTTCCCTGAGCAGCACCAGGGGTCACTCCTGAGCAGAACCAGGAATAGCTTCTGAGCAACTGCCATGGCTGTTTCCTGAGGAGATCCATGAGTGGTCCCTGATTACCACCAGATGTGGGAATCCCCTCCTCTCCCCCCCCCCCCCCACAATAAAAAGAAAGGGTCTCAGAGTGGGTTCTTGTCTGGGAGTGTAGGGGAGGAAAGTGTGTGGGGGCCATAAGAACCTGGACAGTGGTGAGGGGCTACCCTGAGGCAACAGGTAAGAAGTATGTCCCCACAACCCACATCATTGTGGTTAGAATCAGATTTTAACCACAGTGCTGCTAAGGAGTAATTCCATTATCAGCTGTTGTATCTGTAAAATGGAGCAATAATGTTGGCTGTTAGAGCACTTAACCTAACAACTACAAAATCTGGGGCTGGAATAATAGCACAGTGAGTAAGGCATCTGCCTTGCACATGGCCAACCCGGGCACCCCATATAGTCCCCTGAGTTGCATCAGAAGTGATCATCAGGAGTAAGCCCTGAAAACCACTGGGCGTGGTCCAAAATCCAAGAGAGAAAAAAGAAAAATGAGTTGGTGTCCTTATTATTGTAATGCTGGTTGTTCTTGCGACCACCAGGACCTGATCCAGACCCGCCCTCTCAGGCCCCATGCCATTTGGTCCCCGGGAAGCCTGTGGAAAGGATGGGAGTAGGCCAATGGGGACGTGGGGAATGGTTTTCCCAGGTGAAAAGGAATTCTTGGGTCTTGAGACTCTGTGTAGTTTTGATCATGTTGTTTCCGAATCTCAATTTCTCCCACTTGTTGCGTGAGTATTCCTCCATCTGGGACTTTGACATTCCGAGAAACCCAGCCCGAGCGACCCGGAAGGGGGAAATAGGAGCAGAGGGAGGGCAACGTCTTGCAAAAGGTGTGTCGTCTGGGCAGGGGATGCTGCCTGACGGATCCGACTCGACCTGCGTCAGCCCCTGAAATGCTTCGACATATGGTCAAGGTGCTGGCAGTGACTCAGTCCCCGCCAGGTGTCCCGAAAGCCGCGGAGGGGCAGCGGCCCAACCGGGACCCTGACGCCAGGCGAGGGCGGAGTCGAGGGAGGGGACACGATCTCACGAACAAAGAGGAGGACGAAAAGGGGCTGTCCTGAAGGCCCCGGGACGCGATTTCGGGGCTCGAACCCCAGCACGGGATGCCCTTTCTACTTCAGCACACCGCGGCGTCCTCCAGCCGACCGCCACTGGACCAAGCAAGCACCCGGGAGCAGCCACCGCGCGGCTACACTAGCCCTTAAAGCCTGGGCCCGCGGAGGCGGGGCCTGGCCCAGAAGGCGTGGCCGACAAATTGAATTTCCCCAATGGGACGCGAGGGTGGGCGGGACCCTCTACTGGATTGGAGGGCGCTGCAGCCAGGGCGGAGCCGGCCCGGCTGCTGGCGGGGCTGGACGGGCGGCGCTTGCAGAATCCCGGGAACGGTTGCTGAACCGCCTGGGCTCCCCGTCGCTGCGCCTTCCGCCTGGCCGTCCGGAGTACGTCTGTCGGATCCCGAGCGAGCTAACCCGAGCCCGCGCCGCGCCGGCGCGCCGGCCTCAGAGGTGGGTGTTCGGGTCGACTGCGGCACCGGGGTCCCCGACGGATCTGGCACGGGGTGCACGGGGTGGAGGGCGGAATCCGAATATATCTGAACTGGGCACTCCCCACCCATCTATGGGAACTCGGAGCCAGACGAGGTTCTGAGACCTCGGGGTGGAGGATGTTCAAGGACCCCCCAGGGTGTAAATACCCTAGGGGAGCTCCATGCACCCCCCCCACGCCAGCCACCAAAGGCCTCTCATAATCTCTTGGGACCCCAGACCATGACAGGGAGACATGAAACTGGAGGCTAGCAGCAGGAAACCTTGGAGAAAGAGCCCCTTGGATGTCTTAGAATATACATTAAGCACCCCTGTTCTCCAGAAGGCATGGTGGGGGTCGAGGGGGGGCCTGAATACCTAAAACCTGGTTACTACTCATGACTGTGAAAAGGCAAGGACCCCGACACACATGTTGCGAGGTTGACACATGCCTTTGTCCTGTGTCTTGGACAAACAGGGTATGAAGAACGCCCTCAAACCCACTCACTGCTGGGGTGACTCGACAAGTGACTGCTCTGGGGACCGGAAGAGGGATAACTGGAGGGTGAATCGAATGGGGGCCATCCTGGGGCCATTTCAGTCACCAGACATTAAACATCGAGGGCATGTCAGACCGCTGGGCCCTCAGATTGATTCCAAAAAGACATCAGGTTACAAGAAGAAAAGGCTATGCTGGGAAGCATAGCTGTGCTGTGACAAGAAGTTTCTGGGGCCCCTGGGAGCATTTTGGAAGGAGGCTTCTGAAGCAGAAGTGGCCGGTATTTTTTTTTTTATCCCTCCATGTTTTCAGGGTCTTTGGGATTTCCTCTGATAAATTCCCTAGCCCTCTCCAGTCCTGCTTGCTTAAATCAGCGGTTTGATGGCTCAGCCCTGGAGGAGCCGGGTCCCAAACACAGAGTGCCTGAGGTCAGGACGATCAGCATCAAGGGAGCACAGAAAGCGGCAAGGTGGAGAGCTGGAAACAGAGGGCTGTCCCCAGGAATTGAAAAAGTGGGTGTAGCTTAAATTGCCTGGGGAAGAGGCAGCAAGGCCCTGGACTGGAAGCTGAGCTTTCAGGGTGGGTGAGTGGGTAGACCAGGCAACCATAGAATCCAACAGGCACTCCCCGCCCCCCCCCCCCGCCTCCCCGGGGGTGAGCACAGCATAGGTGGGCCTGGATGTATGCACCCATGTCTTGTCTATGCAGACTCTACCCTCCCTGGTGAGGGCCTCTTTGAGTCTTAAGAGTTGACTGGAGGGCTGGAGCGATAGCACAGCAGGTAGGGCGTTTGCCTTGCACGCAACTGACCCGAGTTTGATTCCCAGCATCCCATATGGTCCCCTGAGCACCGCCAGGGGTAATTCCTGAGTGCAGAGCCAGGAGGAACCCCTGAGCATCGCCGGGTGTGACCCAAAAAAAGCAAAAAAAAAAAAAAAAAGAGTTGACTGGATTGGAACCAGGGACTTCTACTCCAGGCTTGGTACTTTTTCCAGCACACCACGCTGAGATAGAGGTCAGTTCCCAGCCAGGAGCCATGTCACAGGAAACCAGGATGGGACTCCAAATGATGATCAGGGCTTGGAAACGGAGGCACGGTGCCCAAGTGTCTCTGGTTGAGGTCCCAGCAGGCCTGATTCATGTCTACCCCCTGCAGAACCCCCTGAGTTGGTGTCAAGTGCTACGGGCACTTGGAGATCTCACCAGGAGGGGACAGACGGAGCTAGCGGCCAGCATGATGGCAGATGAGGCCTTCGCTGGACTGGATGAGGGAGCCCTGCGGAAGCTGGTAAGTGGCCCTGTGGTTCCTCCATGGAGGGGACAGGCAAGCCACGCAGGGAGGCAGGGCTTGTCCAGAAGGTCGTGGGGGAGAGGGCAGGAGGGGCCCTCGGGCTAACAGGACTGGGCTGGTTCTGCGTGACTGGTGCAGAGGCCCCCATGGCATGTGCCTGTCCATGCCAGGTGCTGAGCCTAATTCTTCCCAGCCCCCCACTGCCACCACCTGTTTAAACAGTAACTGCTGAGGACTCGCCCATGTGGAGCCACAGGTGTGGGAGGCTGCATTTGTCTCTCCCCGGCAACAGTCTGTGCCTACCCCTGGAGGCCAGGCCCATGATAACAGCAGCCGCAGCCATTGATACTGCTGAGGGGCTGGATGTTGCGGCTCTCAAGGGGGCCAAGGGGCCTGGGTACTTCGAGGCTGTAAGTACCCATCTAGAAAGCCAGGCCTTGGGGGCCCCTCTGGGACTTCCCTGTCTGTCCTTTTCTTACTCCGGAGTCCCTGGGAGGGAAAAGAGACTGTGAACATCGTTATCCTAGTCCTGGAATTGGTATGAGGATGGAAGGAGATATGAGCACCCTGTTGCCAAGGTGGAGGGAGGATGTGCAGGCTCCATCCCCTCCCGCAGCATCTTCCTGAGTGTACACCCCCCCCCCCAACCCCGCAATCAATCATGCACCAGGGCTGAGACCACCACGACTGACACCAGGGCAAGTATGTGCCAACTAGCTGCTGGACTGGAGGCCAGGCTAGGGCACCACCCCGGCCCCTGACCCTTGTCCGGGAGGGGAGATTAAAGATTTACCTTACCCTTGGGGCAAAAAAAAAAATTAAAAGTAAGTGGTGCACCCCACCCCCATATACCATTCCGGCGACTCTGGGTTGCTGCCACCACCACAGCTGGTTGCGTGCTGCCTGGAGGGGCGGGATGGGTCTGGGTTTCCAAAAGTTCCCACCACGTCAGCTCAGCCTCCTCCTCGCAGGAAATCAGGATCCTAATGGGGGTGGGGGGAGCGGCAGGCGCGTTCCAAAGAGCGCGAGCGGGTCTCCGCGCCTCGCGGTCTCTCCCGGGGTCTAACTCTGCAGAGCCGGGGTCTCCGCCCGGCCGCGCGTCACCCCCTAGCCCCGTGCTGGGGTTCGGGCGCTGGAAAGGTCGGTCGTTAGGTGGGCGCCCCACTTGCTCCCTCCCGTCTAGGACTAGGGAAGACCCCGCGGCTTCGCCTGTCCGGACACCGGGTCGACCGAGGCGTCCCCGGGCCGGGGGATGGGGGGTGTCGGGGGGTGTCGCTTCCCTCCACCGCCCCGTCTGCGCCCCGGCGTGGCCGAGGGTCCCGCCCCGGCGGCCTCGTGGCAGGCCGGGGGCGTCCCGCGCCGGGGCTCCTCCCCGCGGGGGCCGCACCTTATAAGGAGAAGCTGGCGGGCGCCCCAGCATCGGGCCGATTCGGGGACCCGGCGGCAGCTTCCGGCCGCGGCTCCCGCACATTCCTGAGGATGGGGCGGGGGGCTGCGCGGGTCGGGGCACCTGGGGACAGTCACGCTGACCGCGCGCCCGCGGAGTGCGGGCTTCGGTACTCACCGCCCGGCCGGCCCCGGCGGGCGGGGGGCTGCTTGAGTTCCGTGGGCGTCGTTTTCCGACCCCCTTCGGTGGCGGGGCGGAGGGGCGGAGGTGGGGTGTCCTTCCCCGGGTCCCCCGCGGGCGCCTAGCGCGGGGCTGGCGACAGGGGCGCGGGGTGGGCGGGGTGACCCTGGCGGCCGTCAGCGCCCCCTGGCGGGGCCGTGCTCCACCGGCAGCCGGTCCCCGCGCGGGGACCCTGGCGCAACCCCTCGCGAGTCGCCCGTTCTGCGCTGGCGGGGAAACTGAGGCCCAGAGAGAGGCCGGCTGGGGCCCTCGACCCCCCAGCAGCGAGAGGCAAGGGCGGCCGGAGGCTTGGCCCCCCGGGAGGAGGAAGCGCCTTCTTTCCTCCCGGGAGAATTGCACCGGGCCGTTTCCGAACCCGCCCCATCCCTTTCCCCTTCCCCGCGGGCCGGACAATGGCGCTTTGTACTTCCTTCCCTCCCTCCCTCCCTCCCTCCCACAGCCCCCTCCACCGGCCGCGGTGGGGCCGAGAGGGCGGGGAAGCTGGACACAGCTGACTCCGGGCCGATCATTGTCCCGGGCCGAAGGGAAGGGCCGTGGGGGAGGAGGAGGAGGAGGGGCGGGCTGATTAGTACCACTGAGGTTTGCCATCCCTCAGCCCTGCCCCACCCACAGCGAGTGGGGTGCGGGGGGGCGTGGGACAAGGGCGCTTCGCAGAAGGGGGACAGCGAGGGTCCCAGGTGCAGAGGTGGCACTTCGTGCACTAGCCTCTGTTTCAGGAACCCCCATCTCTGCATCGCTGGGGAGGGGAACCCGGGAGGTAGCACGGAGTTCTTTACCTTCATCACGGGAGGGTGGACCAGCTGTCCCTCGGTGTTCGCTTCTCCCACTTATGTCCGAGCATAACCCCGCAAGGCTCGGGTCTGACGAAGAAGGCGCTGGGGTGCTGTGGGGTAGTGAGTCACTTTCTCCTTCCCTCCACCATAAGTTCACCTTGGTCCCAGCATATCCATAGTCCAGATATCAGGAGTCCCACACAGGGGAGAGCTCACCCCCACAAGAGAACTACCCTCAGCCCAGGGCAAACCCCAGGGAGAAACCTGAGTTCAAGAACCGTTTGTGGGGGCCGGAGCGATAGCACAGCGGGTAGGGCGTTTGCCTTGCACGCGGCCAACCCAGGTTCGATTCCCAACATCCCATATGGTCTCCCGAGCACCGCCAGGAGTAACCCTTGAGCATCGCTGGGTGTGACCCAAAAAGAAAAAAAAAAGTTTGTGGGTTCCAAGCGATGGTACAGTGGGGAGGGCATTTACCTTGCATGCAGCCAACCTGGTTCTATTCCTGGCACCCCAGATGGTACCCCAAGCCTCACTAGGAGTGATCCCTGAGTGCAGAGCCAGGAGTAACCCCTGAGCATTGCTGGGTATGACCCCAAAGCAAACAAAAAAAAACATTTGACAGTGAACATGTCTAGCAAGTGACCACCAAGGACAGACCACGTCTCCCTTGGTTTTAGTTTCCTCATCTGCAAATGGGAGTACCCACAGGATTCCTAGATTAGGACATGTTGGGAGGAGGGGGTGATTTCAGCACAAGCATGTTGTACCTCATAAATGCTCCTGATTCTTCGGGGTAGCTCGTCAGCACTTACCTCTCTCTCCTCCTGAGTGGCAGGAACCAAGTTCAGGAGTGATACCAATTGCATCTACAATAATGGAGAAGGGGGACCCCCCAAAATCACTGCACCCATCCCTACCCACTGCCCTTCGGCAGAGGCCAGTGTGCTATCTGGCACTGGAGAAACTCAAGACACAAGTTAGAGGGACAAGCCTCACCCCCAGGCCAGAGAGATCGAGTACAACAGGTGGGGTGCTGGCCTTTCTTGCAGCAGACCTGGATTCGATCCCCGGCACTTCATATGTGCCCTGAGCCCACTATGAGTGATGCCTGAGCACAGAGCCAGGAGTAAGCTCTGAGCACTGCTGCGTGTGGCCCGAAACAAAAATAAAATCAAAAAGAAAAGAAAAAGTCCCTGACCCAGCAGCTAGGACCAAAGTGGAACCAGCTGGGGGTTCTGGCTTGACCAGCTCCTCAAGAATGTGGAAGCTGAAGGAACAGCAGAGGGCTTAGCCCAGCCCCCACCGCCCCCAGCCCCAGGCCTTACCCACTGGGGCCAGCGAACTTATAGCTGAGTTGGGCCCACCCACATTCCCTGCTGAAACCTCCTCCCACACATGCCTGCCCCCAGCAGGCAGGAATGATGGGGGGAGGAGGCCAAGAGCGGGGTGGTAGTGGGTGCCTGGGCCCTACCCCCTAATGACTTGGAGGTGTGGGCAGGGAACTTACCTTGCCCCTACTTGCTCTCCCCTGGCGCGGTCCCACACTGGAGGCTTTATCTTTGCCATTATCTTCCTGGGGGGCCCTGGGCCAATCCTCTCTCCCTTGAGCCCAGAGGCTTCGTGGGGGGTGGTGTGGGGAGAGCCACAGGATTGGCTGGCTCTGCTCAGAGAAGGTGCCCTTTCCCGGACCAGCTCAGACCAGCCACCCCCATTTCTCAGCGACAGAGGGGCTAAGGAGCCGGTAAGAGCGCGGGTCCTCCAAGGACACCCTCTTCTGGGCCCCGTTGGTGGTGGCTGCAGTTAGGTCTGCGCGAGAAAGCTTGGACCCCCGAGTCTCTCTGCTCCTGCCTTGTCCGTCTTCACCATTTGAATGAAGCTGCCACCTGCCAGCATGCTGTGGTGTTTCGGGGCTGGACCGTAGGCATCTCCCTGGTTCACAGAGCCTCCAGTTGCCAGGGGCTCTGTGTGTGTGTGTGTGTGTGTGTGTGTGTGTGTGTGTGTGTGTGACCGGGGCTGGTGGATGGTGTTTCCCTCCCTCCTGCTTCATCTCCCTGGTTCATAGAGCCTCCAGTTGCTGTAGGGTGTGTGTGTGCGTGTGTGTGTGTGTGTGTGTCTGTGTGTGTGTGTGTGTGTCTGTGTATGTGTGTGTGGTGGGCTGGACCATAGACATCTCCCTGGTTCATAGGGCCTCCAGTTGCCATAGTGTGTGTGTGTGTGTGTGTGACAAGGGCTAGTGGATGGTGTCTCCCTCTGTGTGTGTGTGTGCATGTATCTGTGTATGTGTGTGTGTGACCAGAACTGGTGAATGGTGTTTCCCTCTGTGTGTGTGTGTCTGTCTGTATGTGTGTCTGCGTATGTGTGTGTGGTGGGCTGGACCATAGACATCTCCCTGGTTCATAGGGCCTCCAGTTGCCATAGTGTGTGTGTGTGTGTGTGTATGTGTGTGTGACAAGGGCTAGTGGATGGTGTCTCCCTCTATGTGTGTGTGCATGTATGTGACCAGGGCTGGTAAATGGTGTTTTTGTGTGTGTGTGTGTGTGTGTGTGAAACCAGGGCTGGTGATAGTGTTTCCCTCTGTGTGTGTGGGGGACAAGTGCTGGTAGATGGTGTTTCCCTTTGTGTGTGTGTGGGACAAGTGCTGGTGGATGGTATTTCCCTCTGTGTGTGTGTGTGTGTGTGTGTGTATGTGAGACGAGTGTTGGTGAATGGTTTTTCCCTCTGTGTGTGTGTGTGTGTGTGTGTGAGAGAGAGAGAGAGAGAGAGAGAGAGAGAGAGAGAGAGACCGGGGCTAGTAGATGGTGTTTCCCTCCCTCCTGCTTCATCTCCCTGGCTCATGGGGGTTTGGTTCGAACTCTGCGGTGCAGAAGTAGCATCAGTAAAAAGGCGTGATGCTTGCCACCTGGCACAGGTAGGCAGCTAGCTGCTGTTCACAGTGTGCAGTGGGCGGTCCAGAGGTCCTGGCTCCGGGCGCTGGGTCTCCCCCTGAGCCCCTGGGTGGGTGGGCGGGCGGGCACGTGATTGGCTTGGCGCACAGGCAGGAGAGACAGACCGTTCATTGTGCCCCCAGAGCAGAGCAGTGGGCAGTGGGTGGCCACCCTCCACCCGTGGCAGCCAGAATGACCTTCCCCTCGCCCCCGCTCGCCCCACAGTTGGAGGTCACGGCTGATCTGGCCGAGCGGCGCCGCATCCGCTCCGCCATCCGGGAACTGCAGCGGCAGGAGCTGGAACGTGAGGAGGAGGCCCTGGCATCCAAGCGGTTCCGCGCGGAGCGGCAAGACAACAAGGAGAACTGGCTGCAGTGAGTGGTCGCAGAGGGTGGGCATGATCGCGCTGACTGCGCGCTGGTGCATCAGCTGCCCAGCTGGAGGTCCAAATGGCAGGACAGTGCCGGCAGGCAACAGGAGGCCCGCGTGACCTGGCCGTGCCCAAGTGGTATGACAGTAGCTAGGCTGAACATTATTTTTTTATTTGTTTAGGTTTCTTTTTTTTGTGCGGAGGTGCACAAGCGGTGCTCAGGGATCACTCCAGGCAGTGCTGGGGGGGTGCTGGAATTGAAAGCCAGTGCCATATGCCCCGCCCCACCCGCACTGTCTCTTCAGTCCTTTTTTTCGGGGTGGGGGATGTTGGATCACACCCAAAGTTTCTTAGGCACTCAGGAATTTTTTTTTTCTTTTTGGGTCACACCCGGCTTTGCACAGGGGCTACTCCTGGCTCATGGACTCAGGAATTACTCCTGGCGACGCTCGGGGGACCATATGGGATGCTGGGAATCGAACCCGGGTCGGCCGCGTGCAAGGCAAACGCCGTACCCACTGTGCTATCGCTCCAGCCCCAAATGAAGAATTTCTGCTCATGGTTTTTTTTTTTTTTTTGGCTTTTTGGGTCACACCCAGCAATGCTCAGGGGTTACTCTTGGCTTTGCACTCAGGAATTACTCCAGGTGGTGCTTGGGGGAACATATGGGATGCCGGGGATCAGACCCAGGTCGGCCACGTGCAAGGCAAAAGCCCCACCCGCTGTGCTATCGCTCGGGCCCCCAGAGTTTCTCAAGGGACTACTCCCAACTAGCTGCGGGCGGTCACTTACTCAGGGGACCATGCAGTGCAGGGGTCAAATTGGATCCCCCCTATGCAAAGCATGCAAACTCGCCCTCTGCCCCATTTCCCCGCCCTCTGAGCCTGTACCAGGGTGTAGCCGGAGGCTGTGCACAGTGCCGTGCCCCTGCTCGAGGTTCTGGGCACCCCAGGCCGGCCCCTCCCTCCAACCACACCCTTTGGGACCAGGCCATTCGGTGTGGGGGGTGGGGTGACGGTCCCCATGTCCCCACAGCTCTCAGCAGCGGGAGGCCGAGCAGCGGGCTGCTCTGGCCCGCCTGGCCGCGCAGCTGGAGTCCATGAGTGATGTGGAGGAGCTAACCGTGCTGGTGAGGCCTGGACCGGGGCGGGAATGGGGGCCACGGGGCAGGGGGACGCCCCACCGCCCCAACCGTATGGCCTGCCTCTCCCGCACAGCTGCGAAGTGCCGGTGAGTACGAGGAGCGCAAACTCATTCGAGCCGCCATCCGCCGGATTCGGGCCCAGGAGATCGAAGGTATGCGTTCCACCCTGCCCACCACCACCCCTGTCTCCCCCATGTGTCCCGGCACCCCATCCCTTTCCTGATCCTTTCCCTTCCTTGCAGCCGCCACTTTGGCAGGGAGATTGTGTAGTGGGCATCTGAACAGTGGTTCAAGAGAGGACAGCCAGGCCCGGGCAGCACGCAGGCTGGCACGGTGCGAGGTAAGGGGCGTGGGCAGGGTGGGAGAGGGTCCCCCAGGTGCCAAAGTGCAGCCTGCCTGCCTGCCTGCCTGTCTTTGCAAGATGGCTACTTGACCGAGGTTCGGAGGGGGGACACTGAGGCTCTGTCTCCAACCCTCTGCTCCCGCTCTTGGGCAAGCGCTGGCTACTCTGCCCCACCCCAGGCTTGATCTCTCTGCCTTCTGCTCAAAGCCAGTGTGTCCTCTGCTCCTGCATTTCTGTCAGACTCCCTCTCCCACCCTCGCCTACCCCCTCCTGGCCTCATCACCTCCATCCCTTTTGGAGGCAGATGTTTGGGATCACATCTGGCTCTGTGCTCAGGGGACCGTGCTATGCCAGGGACCAACCCCGGGTCTGCTGCTTGTAGAGCATGCGCTCCAGCCTGTTTGAACAACCTCCAGGGCCCTTACCTCCTCTGTGCCTTGTCCCCTAACCTTTACCGCCCAGCCTCCAGTGAGCAGAAACGGACTGCCCTGAAATGCAACCCCAACCCCCCCTCCCTCCATACCTTCCTGGCTTACACCACCCCATGGCATCTCTCCCGCTGCAGAGCGCCACCTCTTCAGTTCCCTCACCAGCACTGCAGCACTGTCTTCCCGTTGTTCATCAGTTTGCTCAAGCGGGCCCAGTAACGTCTCCATTGTGAGACTTGCTGTTGTGTTTGGCATATCGAATATGCCACGGGTAGCTTGCCATGCTTTGCCGTGTGGGAGAGATACTTTCGGTAGCTTGCTGGGCTCTCCGAGAAGGGCGGAGGAATCGAACCCGGCTCAGCCGGGCTGGCTGCGCGCAAGGCAAACGCCCTACTAGCTCAGTTGGGAGAGCGTTAGACTGAAGATCCCCCACCAGAGGAGGACGAAACTTGGGCGGTGCAGGTTTCCCAAGTGGCCAGCAGGGGTCGCTGGGTCCCCACTCCTGGCAGGACTATCCCTCCACCACCCATCTGCCAGACGGAGGCCAGAGATCAGGGGCCCCCCTTGCAGGGATCTGTTGCAGGGATCTATTAAGACAGGGATCCCCCCGCCACCCCCACCCGCTGGTATTGAGATCTGAACTGCCCTGACAAGGTAGGGCGGGAAGCCAAGAGGACGGAAAGTGAAGCTTGTGGTGTGCCCGCGCCCAGGCCTGTTCAGGTGTGCCCACAGGAAGCCGTGCCCAGCCCCTCTCTCCTTTGCATGCCCTGCCTTGGGCACCTGCCACCCTGGAACGTGGGCTGCACCCTGTGTGTCCCCTGCAGGTGCCTGAGCGAGAGGAACAGCCCGAGGGCCCCAAGCCAAGCCCAGCTGTCGAGAGCACCAGCCAGAATATGACCACAGTGACAGTCCTGCTACAGGCTCCGCACGGAGCCTCCCCCAGCCCACCTGCCTCGCCCAAAACTTCACCTGCTTCTGCCTCCCCGGAACCTCCATTGGAGCCTGCTGAGGCCCAGGCCCCTGATCCAGAAACTCTGGGCAGCCCCGAGCTGCCTCCCAGCCTGCCCAGTGGCACCAGCCCTGGGACCCAAGAGTTGCCAGCACCCCCCAGCACTGAGGAGCGGGTGGTTACCACGGTGAGTTCGGACGAGGGGAGAGAGGCCTGGATGATGAGCTCTTTGGTCTGGACGTCAGGCCCTAGTCACGCACTGTTCTCCCCATAGCTCCTGCCTGGTCCCCCAGAGCCCTCTGCTGCCCATGGCCCCACCAGAAGTCCCTCGGACACAAAGAGAACAGGTGAGGGTCCAGCAGCCACAACCCCAGGCATCTGCCCCCCTCTCCCTGGAGAAAGGCCTCTGGTGCCTGGCCAGCCCTGGCCTCCCAGGTCCACTCCTCCCACTGCCCCTGAGGTGTCCCCGCCCCCAGCCTGGCCCAGCCCCCCTCCGCCCACCCCCATGGCCAGAGGCCTCCCCGCAGCCTTGAAAGGCAACAGGCCTCAGGCACATTCTTTGTCCCAATAAGGGAGTGTACCCATCTCCCAGCATGGAGAGGGCAGCCTTGGCCGGGGGGTGTCCCCCAATCACATCGGCAGGGAGGCAGGGAGGCTCAGGCCACCATGGCATGGCACTCCTCCAGCTCAAGCCTAGCTCCAGCCCCCAGGAGAATCCGGGGCACCCTGGGCTCTGCCCGAAAGGAAGGCGGGGCAGCTGAATGGGGAGGCCCCGAGGCCCGGGTGGAGGAAGTGGGTGGAGGCTGAGGTGTGGAGGAGAGGACGGTGAGCCGTGACTCCCCCCACATCCACTCTCCTTTCTCTTCCCCACATGTCCCCCTCATCCCCTCCACCATATGGCCAGACCTGGCTGGACCTCGTCCTTGCCAACGTTCCCTCTCTGTGCTCAGCCCCCGCCAGCTGCCTCAGAACCAAGGTACTGTCTGTTCTCAGCTTCCCCAGGCTCAGGCAGTCTACCTGTGCCCACCCCACCACTGACCGCCCTCCTGTCCCTTCTAGTGCCCACCACACCTGGCAGCGGACCATCCCCGTTCCAGCGGGCTGGCTCGGTGCGAGACCGCGTGCGCACATTCACCTCGGACTCTCCCAGGCCAGCCGGACTCCAGCACGGCCCCTCCCGGGTGGCCCCAGGTCCCTCGACCCCTGCCAGGCTCCCAGGCTCCTCCTTCGGCAGCACCACCCCTGCCTCCTCCTCCTCCTCCTCCTCCTCCTCCTCCAGCGGCTCCTCCTTGCGGGGAACCTCCTCCCGGTCCAGCAAGGAGAAGCCAGGAACGGCCCAGCTTCAGAGCTGCCCCCGGGAGGAGGACTCCCGGGGGCGGGACTTGGCTGCCAGGTCCCTTGAAAATGGAGCAGGGGGGGCCCGGGCCTGCTCAGAGGAGCCCAGTACCCCGCTGCCCGTGGCCGTGGGCACTTCTGAGCCAGGGGCCAGTATGAAGACCACGTTCACCATCGAGATCAAGGATGGCCGAGGCCAGGCTGCCCCGAGTCGGGTGCTGCTGCCCACAGGCAGCCAGAGGGCAGGTAGGTTCCCCCGCCACCACTCGATGCCAGGACAGACACCTGCAGCTGCCCAGCTCTGCCCAAGGGACAGGTGCTATGGCCAGAGCACAGGCTGTCTCCAAAGAGCCCACTGGGCGCAGGGGGCACCCTTCACTGAGAGTGGCATCGCCTGCGACCTGCCCTCCCCATTCTGACCATATTCCTCCCCCTGGCAGAACTGACACTGGGGTTGCGGGCGTCTCCCGCCGGCCTGAGCACTGGTGGTAAAGGCAAGAGCTCCATCACCCAAACGGGCAACCCTGGGGCTCCAAACCGGCTGGGCAGTGTCAAGCATGTCACCAGCTTCAGCCATGCATCCCCTGGGAACCGGAGAGGCTGCAGCGTTAAGGTGAGCCCCTCCCTGCTTGGACACCCCCTCCCCTCCAGCCTCACCATCCTTCTGGGGCTTCTAGAACCAGCAGATTCCTCTGCTCCACTGCACCCTCACTGTGCACAGGGGGAAACCGAGGCCCAGAGAAAGAGAGAAGGTGACTGCCCAGTGTCCACCCCCAATGGGTGACAGAACTAAGGGCAGACCCCCCGGGATGCAGGCACCAGGTGTGTGAGAAGTTAGTTGCCTCTGTTTTGTCTGGAAACTTCCCACAGGCTGATCTCTGGTGGCGGCTCCAGGTTGGCTTAGCTGGTTCCCAGTGCTCAGACGCGAGGTCCCGGTGCAGGGAGGGGGGCTGGGTTTCACACCCCCTCTTCCTGTGGCAGCCGCACTTACCTTCTTCAACCCCACCTGGACCTCAGCCCTCAGCCTGGAAGATCAGCCTGGTCCCTGAGGAGATTGGAGATTAGCAATTAGCATCTGCGTCACATTGCCGCGGGAGAGGCAGGAAGGGATGAGCAGAGTAGGGAGATGGGGGGCCGACAGGTGGGGGTTGGGAGGGGCACCAGGCAGGCGAGGCCTCAGCTTAGCAGGTGCCGCGGGAACTGAATCCTCCGCCTGCTTCCATTATTCATTCCTGAGCCCCATTCAGCCGGCTGGTAGCTCAGCCAGGGAAGGGATCCCAGCTGGCCACCCAGCTGCCCAGGTAATGCCCGTCTACTACACCGGGGACCGGACAGGCCTTTGGCCAAGGTGAGGTGATGCGAGCCCACATTGGGGTTTCTTGGGATAATGAGGAGAGAGGAAAGAAAGCCCCTTCTCCCCATTGCTCAGGACCTAACTGCTCTCTGCCAAGGATGAGTATGGGGGGGGGCTGAGCCCTTGGGTGCACCCTGAGTGTTGGCGCCGCCAACTCAGAATCAGGGGAGGCAGATAAAGTGCCTACAAGGCCCTCCCCCAGGGGGCCTTGGCCCCCACGCCCTGGGCACGATGGAGGACCCTGATCTTGGGGTGAGATTCTGAGATCCTGGGCTCGCTTAGTACCAGCCCTACTTCCCCAGGCCCCTCTGCGTGTCTTGCATCTGTCCCTGGCGCCAGAGCACGCAGACTGTGGAGTCTGGCCCGCCTGGGTCCTCACAGCAGGCCCCTTCTGTCTCCTTGCCTCTGTTTCCCCAGCCCACAGACAAGGAAGCCGGGCCTTCAGCACCTCTGTAGGCTGGCTGGGCTGTGGGTCTGTGATCTGCACGGGGCTGGGGCTGGGTCCAGGGCTAGGTCTGGGCCATCTGCAGGCCTGAGCGGCCACCCCTCCCCCACAGCCCCTCCGCTGAGAGCCCAGAATAGGTTTCTATTTGGGCTGCAGCCCCAGCTGGCAGCCAGGGCGGGGCAGGCCCACTGCCCTTGCCTTCGTCCTCAGCTGCAAAGACTGACATCGGCAGCCAGAAGCCCGAGTCCCTGTCCCTCGATCGTACAGCCCCCCGCCCCCTGCCCAGCACCATGCCGGGGGTTCCGGGGCCCGGGGCCGAGTCCGAGCTGGCTACAGCCCTTGAGGAGCAGCTGGGCCGGGCTCTGGAGGAGCTGCGAGCAGTGGCTGAGGCGGGCCGGGCAGCAGTGACCCAGGCAGCTGAGGCCGCCGCCTCCGCTGTGGAGCCAGTGGCCCGGGCCGCGGAAGAGCTGCGGGCAGAGACGGCCGCGCTGAGCCGGCGGCTGGACGCGCTGGGCAGGCAGGTGGAGGTGCTGAGCATGCGGCTGGGGGTCCCACTGGGGCCTGACCTTGAGTCTGAGCTGGAGCCCAGTGAGCTGCTCCTGGCTGCTGCCGACCCCGAGGCCCTCTTCCAAGCGGCCGAGGATGCCGGGACCCCCGTGGCCCACCCACCTGCCTTTAGCACCCGCCGCTCCTCCTCTGCTGGCCCTGCCCGCAGCAGCAGCCTCGTGAGTCCGTGTGGGGAGACGCGAGGGGGTGGGGAGAGCGTCGGGGCCAGGTTCTGCCTCCGCTCCGTGATCTGGGATACGCCGCGCCGCCTGCTCTGAGCCTCAGTTACCTGTCTCTAACCGGGGACAGGGATTCGAGCGCGCCCGGGGCTGAGGCAAGAGGGTGCTAGGTCTCTGGCCCCGAAGCACATGTGACAGCTGCCCGAGCAGGGCCGGTGCCAGCCCAGTGTCACTCCCACCCCACTGGTCCCCCAGCCAGGCCTGGACTTCCCAAGACAGCTGCCTCTTCAGCTCTTCTTACTCTCCCCGCTGGCAGAGAGGCCCCGCCAGGAGCGGCCGGGCTGTGAGCGATGCAGGCAACAACTCTATGGCTGCTGGTCTGCAAGAGGCTGGAGAGATGGACTGGGGGGCTGGAAGGGCCTGGTTGGAGTTGTTTGGGGGGCCCTTGCAGAGGAGGGCAGAGAGCAAGGGCTGGTGACGGCATATGAGCTGCAGCTCTAGACAAACACCTGGTCATCAGGATCCTCTGGGGTGTGTGTGTGTGTGTGTGTGTGTGTGTGTAAAGGGGTGCTGGCATAATGTGTGTGTGACCGTATCTCTGTATGTGTTGAAGGGGATGCTGACTGTGTGTGTGTGTGTGTTAGGTGTGTTGGAGGGGGACTAAGATAACCCAGGTGTGTGTGTGTTGGAGGGGGACTAAGATAACCCAGGACTGGGAGTGGGCTGAGAAGGAAGCAGCAGCAGGACCCCAGATCTGGGAGTCTGATTACATACAGCTGGGACCCCAGACTGCATTATACTGAAAGGACTAATGGGCAAGTCTTCCAGCCTCAGTTTTTCCTTCTGTGTAATGCAACTTCCTGGTACCTCTGCAACGCTGCCCTGTTGGATGGAGAGCCCCCACCAGGCCCCCACCCATTATGTCAAGAGTCCCTGGGTGCGGGGGAAGCCCTCCAACAAGGCTAGCAGTGCTCTTCTCGGATGCCAGAGTGGCCATCCTGGACAAGCAGTCTGGCTCCTGGTCATTTCCCCTGCCTCCCCCCTACTCCCCCGGGGGATGTTGGTTTCATCGACACCCCTCCTCAAGGTACTGGCCTTCTCTCCGCCCTCCAGATGGAGCCAGAGCCAGCAGAGGCCCCTGCCGCCGCAGCAGAAGTAGCCAATGACACTCAGCAGACCCTGGGGGACAAAGCCCCCGGGAGGCCAAGCCCGCTGAGCGCTGAGGAGCTGATGGCCATCGAAGATGAGGGCGTCCTAGACAAGATGGTACGGCAGATCGGATGGGCACTGGGGCTTGGCAGGGGGACAGGAGACCAAGAGCCCCCCCCCCCCCCACAGCCCCCCTCCCCCCCGCCCCAGGGGAGCAATGACCAAGGATCTTTCCGCAGCTGGACCAGGCTACGGACTTCGAGGAGAGAAAGCTCATTCGGGCCGCGCTGCGGGAGCTCCGACAGAGGAAGAGAGGTTAGAGGGCCTGCTGTCCCGGCCTCCGTCGGTGGTCCATCTCCCTGCCGTTCCTCCCAGGCTGGGGTTCCAGTGGGGAAGCTCCAGCCCCCTAACTCCCTTACCAGTTCTCTCCAAGACCCAGCTGTTCCCCTGCCCCCTTCCCAGCCGGTCTTAGCTGCTGCTCCCTCGCTGCTTTTCTCCCTCCAGGTCACCCCAGTTACTGTCCCCAACCAGCCCCTCCTCTCCGTCAGACCCCGTTACTCTCTCCCAGCTTCTCCTCCTTGGATCCATCCACTTGCTTCAAGTACTGTCAACCACACCTTCCCGGAAGCCAGACCTCCTGCTCCCAGGCTCCTCTCTCCTTGAGGTCCACTGAGGAGCCCCTCAGCCTCCACCCCCACCAGTTTCCCCTTCCCTGGCACTACTGCAACATCCTTTCTTAGACAGTTCCTCTCAGGAGCCCAGCTAACCTTTCCCTCCTGCTCAAGAGACCCTCGGCTTCTCCAGAAACTCTCCACATCCCTGTCTCTGAATCTAGCAATTCCCACTCCTGCCCTGCCTCTATCTTCACCACTTTTTTGTTTGTTTGTTTTGTTTTTGGATCACACCCAGCAGTGATCAGAGCTCACTCTTTTATTTATTCATTTATTTATTTTTTTGCTTTTTCTTTTGGGTCACACCCTGTACAATGCACACAGGTTACTCCTGGCTCTGCACTCAGGAATTACCCCTGGCAATGCTCAGGGGACCATATGGGACACTGGGAATCAAACCTGGGTCAGCCACATGCAAGGCAAAGGCCCTACCTGCTGTCCTATCACTCCAGCCCCTCAGGGCTTACTCCTGGCTCTGCACTCCAAGATCACCCCTGGTGGACCCGGGAGAGCATATGGGGTGGCGGGGATTGAACCAGGGTGGGCCGCATGCAAGGAAAGTGTCCCACCTGCTGTATTATGGCTCTGGCCTGTCTCCATCCCCTTCTTTAGAAATGCACTTTATCAGCTGGTCTCCCAACTGCCTAAATCAAATTCCTCTTCAAGGACCTCCAATTCCTCTCTTTCTGGATCTAGAGATTCTTGAGATTCTTCCTCCAGCTGTTCTTGTCCCCCACTAAACCCGAGTGAAGGCCCCTCGGCCTCTACCGTCCTCACCCAGCCTCTGTCCGCCCAGATCCTGCTCTTTACCTCTGGATGCAGCCCCTCCTTCCCGTAGAAATTCCCTTCTGGGGTCGAAACAGTTCCCTTTGAGTCAGGTGCTTCCCTAGCCCCTCATTCCTGCCTGCACGTATTGCTAATCCCCACCCCCCACAACCCGCCTCCTCCCTGCCAAGCTAGGGCTGTCCCCTGCCCCCTCCCCAGTCCTGTTCCTCCCCCGTTGTCGGCAGTGTTTCTAACGGATTGCCCTCCACCCCGTCCTTGTGTGCCTATACATCTGTGTGGTGTGGGTACTGGGCGGCCCCACTGGGCACGCATGGGGCACCCCCTGCACAGACCAGCGAGACAAGGAGCGGGAGCGGCGGCTGCAAGAGGCCCGGGCGCGGCCCGGGGAGAGCCGAGGCAACACGGCGACCGAGACCACCACGCGGCACAGCCAGCGGGCTGCCGACGGCTCTGTCAGCACCATCACCAAGACCGAGCGGCTCGTCCAGTCCAGTAAGGGGCCGGGCGGGGCCGCGGCTGGGCGGAGGGTGCCGCTGCGGGCTCGCGTGCCTCTCACCCTTTCCTCTCCTGCCCTGTCCCCCCGCTGCAGATGATGGCACTCGGACTGCCCGGTCCACCACAGTGCAGTCGAGCTTCGTGAGGCGCTCAGAGAGTAAGGCTGCCGGCTGTCGCCCTGTGCCTGCCTGTCCGCTCCACCTCCTGCAGCTCTTCTCGAACTCTCCAAAGTCTCATCTGCGTGCCTCTGTCCAGCTGTCACTTTCGTCTTCTCTGCCTATGGCTCCCACTTTCTTTCCCGCCCTCGCCCCATGTCCCCTCGCTGACATCCACCCTGGGCCCGTCTTAGCTTCTCCCCGTCCCTTCTTTTTGCAGATGGTGGTGGTAGCACTGTGGTACAAACCAAGACCTTCTCCTCCTCCACTTCATCTTCCTCCTCATCCTCCTCCAAGAAGATGGGCAGGTGAGCACAGTTACCCACCCCCTGGACCACAAAGGAGTCCTCACAGCATATCCATTTTATAGAGAGGCAGAACTGAAGTCTAGGGGGTGATAGACCGGAAGAGTGAGGGTCAGACCCCTCTTGCGTCCCTGGGTCCTCACCATGGATCAGCATCACCATGGATCCCGAGAGTTTTTCTCAGGTCTCCTCCTGGCCACTTGGGATGGCATAGTCCCGGGGCCACAAGCCTCACATCAAGACCTTGGTACCTGAGGGCAAGCTCTTGCCCTATGGCAGGAGCTGCCCGTGAACCAGGGTGGGTCGCATGCAAGGAAAGCGTCCTTGGGTCCAGTTTATCTGCCAGCTACCTTGCCTGGTCTCTCCTTGCAGAGAGGCACAGTTACCCCTGTCCTTGCTGCAGGGAACTTGTGCTTGCGGGGCCCACAGATCCTTAGCGAGGACTCCCTACACCTAGCTATCCCCTGGCATCCTCTTTCCACTCTCTGTAGACCATGTCCCACATTGCAAAGCCTCAGAAGGGAGGGCTGCACCTTCATCTTACAGACAGTTTCAGGGATGCTGGAAAGCGGGGATAGGATAAGAATTCTGGCCAGGAACCATCAGGGGGACACAGAATCAGAGCCAGAGAGACCTGAGTCAAGTTCCTGGGTTGTCTGCCTTCTCGCTCCCCATACCCTTGGAATTGGAGGCCTGGGGTCTCTGTTCTTCATCAGCAGGAGGAGGGGGACAACCCCCCCACTTTGTGAAGTTTCAAATGGCACACACCGAGAGATAGAAGAGCAATAGTATTCTTAACTTGCATGTGGCTCACCTGGTTTGATCCCCGCACCACGTGTGCTCCCTACCACCAGGAGTGATCCCTGAACACAGAGTCAGGATCAAGTCCTAAACACTGCCAGATGCAGCCCCCCCCAAAAAAAATTACAATAAATTGGCAGACTGGGAATACACAATAGAAATGACTTATTCCTATTCCTGTTATTCCTACAGTGAAGATCATACGCACAGTGTCCAGAACCTGAATTCGCTCTGAACTTGACCCAGACAATGAGCTTTCTTGGAGAGCTCCTTGAGGAAAAGAGCTTAGCTCCAGGCTTCTTCTTTGAGACCACACCAAGTGGTGCTGGCGTGGGTGGATGGCGGATAGGGAGGGGCCACAAGGTGTAGAGAATGCAGCTCTCCAACTCTGGCTTCCCCCTGTGCTCAGCCCGTGGAACTGTCTCTCAGTCTCAGCTTCTAGTCCTTTGAGCCTTAGTGTACTCCTCTGTAAAACGGGTGTTACAGGAGCCTCCCTTGCAGGCTCTAGAGCACGGTCTGGAACACAGTACCTGTTCTTGGGGCCTGGAGAGACAGTGCAGCGAGGAAGGTGCTTGCTTTGCACACGGCTGACCGGGGTTCAGTTCTCGGCACGCCGTGTGGTTCCCTGAGCCTTTCCAGCCTACCCCTGAGTACCGAGGCAGGAGTAAGCCCTTGAAAACACAATACCCGCCCTTTGGGTATTGTTAGGTCTTCTGACCCGACAGTTACCTTCTCCCAACCTCAGTATCTTCGACCGCGAAGACGAGACCAGCCCGCGGCCAGGGAGCCTGGCGGCGCTCGAGAAACGCCAGGCGGAGAAGAAGAAAGAGCTGATGAAGGCGCAGAGTCTGCCCAAGACCTCGGCCTCCCAGGCGCGCAAGGCCATGATTGAGAAGCTGGAAAAGGAAGGCAACGCGGCGGGGTAAGCGGGAGGTGGGGGGTGTGGCCCAATGAGTGAGTGGGGCGGGGACCAATGAGCTCAAGGGGGCAGGGCTGAATGGGGGGGGGTTGGGGGGGGGGGACCTATGAACTCAGGGGGCGGGGCTGAGTGGTGGGAGGCGGGACCAATGAACTCAAGGGGCGGGGCTGAGTGGTGGGGGCGGGACCAATGAACTCAAGGGGGCGGGACTAGGACCCAAAACCCTTGCAAGGGGGCGTGGTGGGAGGGGCCTGAAGGCTGGAGAAGGAGGGTCCCAAAGTGGGGGCGTCGGAGGCTACCATCCCTTCCTCTTGTGACCCCATTCTCGCCCCGGCAGAAGCCCCGGCACTCCCCGTGCTGCTGGCGTGCAGCGCTCCACCAGTTTCGGGGTCCCGAACGCCAACAGCATCAAACAGATGTTGCTTGACTGGTGCCGGGCGAAGACGCGTGGCTACGAGGTGAGTTCTACGTGACTCTACGTGGCGCTACGTGGCCCGGCTGCCCAGTCACTCCCTTTCCCGCCTGGGCACCTCCAGAGGACAGAACTCCTCCCCATCCTTACAGGTTCCACAGCGTCCGTGCTGGGTGAGGGGGATGGGAAGCCTTTGCGAACGTGCTCCATTCTAGAATAAGTCATGAGCTTCTAGAGCCTAGTAAGAGCCCTTGTAGAGTGGGCATGGTTCAGGGTCAGACCGCGCTCCTGGACTCCCCCCTCTTAATTGCTCTGTGGCCACATTAAGTACCTTTCTGTAAGTTCGGGGGCAGGGGACAGGCATGGGGCTTGACCCTAGGTGGTTTGGGGGCCTCTTGATCATTCTAACCTCCCTAAGTAGCAGGCACAGAAGTTGACAGACTTAGAGTAGGCTCGTGTTCTCACTACGTTCCTGCTGTGCATTCTTGAGCAAGTTACAGAGCCTCTCTGAGCTCAGTTACCCGCCAAAAGCTCTGTGGAACATGAGGCGGGGAGCAGGGAGGGGGAGAGAGAGAGGAGCTCATTGCTCTTCTTCCATTGCCAATTCTTTTCCCCACCAGCATGTGGACATCCAGAACTTTTCATCAAGTTGGAGTGATGGCATGGCCTTCTGTGCCCTGGTACACAACTTCTTCCCGGAGGCCTTCGACTACGGGCAGCTCAGCCCACAGAATCGGCGCCAGAACTTCGAGGTGGCCTTCTCATCTGCCGAGTAAGTGTGGCGGCTAGCCTTGCTGGAGTCAGCTGAGTCTCTGGGGCCGGGCATCTGGGCCAGGATGCCCCGGAGCTGGTCAGCCGCACTGTCAGACTGAGACCCCGGTCCCCAGAAAGCCCCAGAAAGTCCTCCTCAGCCCTGCCCACCCGCTGCTGAGCGCGCCAGGTGCCGGCCGGAACGAAGGAGCCGCAGGCCCGCCTGCCAGCCCGGGCCAAGGCCTACCAGGTGGCCCTGTCCCTGTCCCCCTGTTCTCCTGCTCCCTTTTCTCTCTCTCTCTCCTTTTCTCTGTCCTGCTCTCCTCCCACGATCACCAGAGCTTCCTGCTCCCACGGGAATCCCGGCTGGAGATTCCAAAAGGAGGCTCCTGGCTGGCCCCCGGGCCCGCCCCGCCTATATAGGCACTTCCAGAGGCTTATATAGGACATCAGCAAGCCTTCCACTTTGGAATCGTTGCCCCATCTGCTCACCTCACTCTTGGCACCCTCTTCCGTCTGTCTTTTCTTTCCTCCTTTCCCTTCCTAGTTCCCCTCCCCCTCATCCCCCAGATTTCTACCTCTTCCTCCCCCCCACCTCCTCTCACGCCTCCCTCACCCCCTCTCCCTGGGGCACAGCCCTCCTCCAACCTCGGCACCCATGCCGTCGCCCCCACCCCACCCTGAGTTCCTGCTTGCCCCAAGAGTTCTCTGCACCTGTGACTGGTCTGGCCCCTCCACCCCTGTCTGCATCGCACACCATTAGTGACGGGTAGTGAGCGGCACGTCCACGGTGGGGCGGGGGCATGCGGGGGCGGCTGGCAGACCGCAGCACCGAGATCGTAACTGAACTCATGTCTCTGTGTGTATGTGTGTGTCTCTCTGTTCTCCTCCCCTCTCTCTTCTCTGCCTCTTCCCCCCCTCTTCCCCACCCGGGCCCCCACCATCCCCCCCACCTCGCCCCTTCCTGGACCCCTCCCCTCCCCAGGACCCATGCGGACTGCCCGCAGCTCCTGGACACAGAGGACATGGTGCGGCTGCGAGAGCCTGACTGGAAGTGCGTGTACACGTACATCCAGGAGTTCTACCGCTGTCTGGTCCAGAAGGGGCTGGTAAAAACCAAAAAGTCCTAACCCCTGCTGGGGCCCCACGGTGAGAAACGTCGCCTTGCCTGCCCGCCCTGTTTTGCTGGAAGCTGCTCCGCAGTGCACAGAGAGGCCCAGGCACTGGTGGTGGGGAAGCCGGGAGGGGGGCGGGGGGACCCTGGGAAGAACCCCGGGGAGCCAGACCTGGCCAGATCCTGCAGTTGTGCACAGCAGAGTCAGGGAAACTGCGCCCCTAAGCTGGTCACGTAGACTCAGGTGGGCAGGGCTGAGCTGGAGGCATCGGGGGAGGCCATGGGAACCCAGGAGAAGCACCTGAGCCTGCTGGCAAGGTCGTGATGGACTCTCTGGGAAAGGTGTTGACGAAGCTGAATGGCAAGTTGAGGCTCCTGGAGGGAGAGGGCCGGGGTGGGGGTGGGGTGTCAGTCTAGGCTGAAGTATGAGGGTGAGAGAGAGGGGGAACCGGGCCTAGGCAGGAGGCAAAAGTTGGCGATGGAGAGGAATGGGCTGTGAGGAGATGGTACTTCTTTCTGAGAATGAGGTGTGAAAGGTTTCCGGAGATTCATTCCTAGAAGAAAGTTTCTAAACATTCCTTGGATGAGGGATGGGTAGGGAATGGATGGATTTGAGTGTTAGAGTGGCTTAAGCAATAGCAGGACTGGTTTCTAGATGAGTCTAGCTTGGGGAGGGTCACAGAAGCCACCCAGGCCCCCTGTTCGGGTCCTGAGAATGGTTGGGGAGCTCAGACGGAGAGCCAGTTTAAACAGGGCCAAAATAGGGAACTGGAGCAATAGCACAGCGGGTGGGGCGTTTGCCTTGCATGCAGCCAACCCAGGTTCGATTCCCAGCATCCCATATGGTCCCCTGAGCACCGCCAGGGGTGATTCCTGAGCGCAGAGCCAGGAGTTACCCCAGTGCATTGTCAGGTGTGACCCAAAAAGCCAAAAAAAAAAGCAAAAACAAAAAACAGGGCCAAAATAGCAACTCCAGATCCCAAGCTGGCTGCCCGAGAAGCTTCGAGGAGCCGGGTGGGCTCAGAGCATCCTGGAAGTTTCAGTTAGAATTGAGGCCAGAGGGGCTGGAGCGATAGCACAGTGGGTAGGGTGTTTGCCTTGCACACACCAAGGGATGCTGGGTTCGATTCCCAGCATCCATATAGTCCCCCGAGCACCACCAGGAGTAACCCCCGTGCATCGCCGGGTGTGACCCAAAAAGAAAAAAAAAATCGAGGCCAGCACTGCAACTCCCTGTTTCCCCCACTGCCCTGTCAGTGAGTCTTCTCCTTGCCCCATACATTTTCCCACTCTTTTTTGCAGAGACTAAAATAGAGGCCTAGGGGGAGCAACAAGATTACCCAAAGTGGTCAAAGTCAGGGCCAGAGCTTGGGGGGTGCAGCTCAGATGCCCCTTCAGGCCTGAAGCCAAGCCCTCCAGGTGAGGGAGGATGGGCCGGGTGCTGTCTCCAGGTCATATATGGACTTGGAGCTGCTGCCCAGCAGGCCGGCCTGGAGGGAGAAGGGCCCGGCCGGCCCCAATCCAGTTGGAAAGTGTGACTCAACCGTGCTGGGCGCTGATGCTCGATTTGCTCGAGGATTGCCTGCTGTTTGGCCTGTCACTGGGGCAGCCAGAGCCCTGCGCTGTGAGCCCCAGTGTAAACAATGGCTTTATAAGGTCTCTAGGGAAGACACCAGGAGTGGGAGGAAGCTCCAGATTGGGGGAGGGAGGCCGGGATCCCGGGGGAGATAGCCACAGCTGGAAGAAACAGAGAGAGGAAGGAAGAGCAGAGAGAGGCCTCTTCTTGGCAGAAGAAATGTGCCCTGGAGGGGAGGGAGGCCCGTCAGGGCTCGGGCACATCCGCTGCAGAGTCAAGAGCCTCTTCCTTATCTGATGTGCGTCCAGCGTCTCAAAAGCAGCAGAGGGGGGCTAGAGCGATAGCACAGCAGGTAAGGCGTTTGCCTTGCACACGGCCAACCCAGGTTCGATCCCCAGCATCCCATATGGTCCCCCGAGCACCTCCAGGAGTTAATTCCTGAGTGCATGAGCCGAAGGAACCCCTGTGCATCGCCGGGTGTGACCCAAAAAGAAAAACAAAAAGCAGAGGATGACTAGGCTGTTGATGGAAGGATGGGGAAATTGAGTCACCAAACAGGGCAGGACTTTGAAGATGCTATTGGGGTCCATGAGGGTGAAGAGTAGAGCGTGGCCTGAGGCAGCCCCCCTGCTTCCCGCATCTTCTCTGAAGCAGCGGGGGTGAGCTGGGAGGAGGCGCCCGCCTGTCTTCGGATGTCTTGGGAACAGGAGCAGATCTTGCCCTTCTGTCTTTCCCACCAAAGAAAACCCACCACCTCTGCCAGAGTGCGTCCTCGGTGCAGGCAGGCAGATGGCAGCGGAGAGGCAGAAGGGCCTGCTCTGAGACAGGAGGGGAGACAGGCAGGGAGCAAATTCCAGTTTCAGGGCTCTGGGCTGGCAGCCACTTAGAAACAGTAAGCCAGTGACTCCAGTTGGGAAGGGGCTCTAGGCAGGGATCAGGGATGGTAGAGGGGGGTCCTTAGGAGGGAGGAGGATGGTGCCACTAAGAAGCGAGGCTCAAAACAAATGACTCCTTTACTCTGTGACTCAGTTTCCCAATCTTTCAAGTGCGGGTCATACTTCTGAAAGCCGGTCGTGCCCAGGGTGTAGATAGCTCCGGTGTATTGATTGGGCCCTCTCCCGCCTCCCACTAATAACTCCAGTGGGGATATTAGTCTGTGTCCCTCCACCCCCTTACACACGTATACCTCTCCCTCACCTCCTGGAGCAGGGACAAGGGTGCCTGGGCCTCTCCTTTCTGCGGGGAGGTACCAGGCAAGGCAGCCAGCTGGTGACTTGCAGCCCAGAGAATCACTGATCAGGGAAAGAGCCACCTAAGCTAAGGGCCCTGCGGCGAGGCTTGTGCCATCCAAGGTGGCCAGGAGGTGGCGCTCCAGAGAGGCGGTCTGGAGTAAGGACCTTCCCAGGCTTTGGAAGCGATCCTGCCCCCCCCCCCCCCCAACTTCGGCCGTCCTGTCTACACCTGCATGGCCTCCCGCCCCCGCCCCATCCCCAACATGTGCCTCCAGGCTCAGGTGGGGCTTGGGATTTTTCTGCCTTCCTGGAAGGTTTTTCACCCCTGCGGTGGCTCAAGCGAGGAGATTATGGAAGACCAGCCACCCGCCGCCTTGGAAAGACCTCCGAGTAAAGGGTCACTTCAAGAGGCGGGGCTGGAGCTGACCCCACCCTCGTGCCCCCTCCCTGCAGGATGCTGGTGGACTGCGTGCCCCTCGTGGAGGTGGAGGACATGATGATCATGGGCAAGAAGCCCGACCCCAAGTGCGTCTTCACCTACGTGCAGTCGCTCTACAACCACCTGCGGCGCCACGAGCTGCGCTTGCGCGGCAAGAACGTCTAGCCTGCCCGCCCACCCGCAGCAAAAAGCCCCCACCATGCCAGGCACTTGGCCCCGCTGTGCGTCTGCCCACCGCTGCCCCGTCCGGCCTGACACTTTCCCTCGCATACACACGCAGCGTTTTGATAAATTATTGGTTTTCAATGACCCCGATTCGATTTATTTTGGCTTCTTTGGCCACACCGTGTGATGTTCGGGACCTACCCCTGGCAAGTTCAGGGGACCTTATGGGATGCAGGGGATCAACCTCGGCAAGCGCCTTAACCCTCCGGACTATCATCTCTTTTTTTTTTTTTTTTTTTTTTTGCTTTTTGGGTCACACCCGGCGATGCTCAGGGGTTACTCCTGGCTTTGCACTCCTGGCGGTGCTCGGGGCACCATATGGGATGCTGGGAATCGAACCCGGGTTGGTCGCGTGCAAGACAGACGCCCTACCCGCTGTGCTATTGCTCCAGTCCCTCATCTCTGTCTCTTGGAGGGTTCCATGGAGAGCAACTCGGCAGAGTGTGCCTACAGCCCCCACTCCAGCTAGACAGCTGGAGATCTCAGGGTTTGGGCTTTTTGTTTTTCTGGGTAGGGGGTGTTCCTATTCCCATGGACCGCAGCAAAATAGACACACAGTCACATGGAAAGCACAAAGATTTAATGGAACTGACGAGGGGAGAAAGAAGTGGAGAGGAATGAGGAGTCCCCCAACTCCATCCCTGCTGGCTTGGGGACGGGGCGTCGACCCTCAGCGAGGGAGTGCTCCCGGGACACTGAGCGCTTCATTCTGTCCCCAGGACTCAGGCAGGGGGCTGGGAAGGGGGGAGGGGGATGCCAGGTGCCCCCGAGGGGCCTACAATTCGGAAGATCGATCCCGAGCGCCCTCGGCGGGCTTAGCGGGAGCCTGCAGGTATTCCGGGGGCACGGGCGCGTCGGGCGCCTCCTTGCGGTAGAAGCCGAGCTCCTGCACCAGCGCGTTGATCTCCTCGCGGGTCATCTCGCTCAGTGGGATTCGCTGCCCACCGAGAGGCAGCCGTCAGCGTGCCGGCCCCGCCTCTCACCCCGCCGCCTCCCCGGCAGCCTCCCCGGCCTCACCTGCAGCTCCTCATGGTGGTGACCCAGCAGCACCAGCTCTGGGTCGGCCCCCGGAAGGTGTTTCATGACCAGGTTGTGGCTGGGAAAGGGTGTTAAGGTGTAGGACGGTGGACCAAGGTGCTCGGGGGACCATATGGGATGCCGGAGATCGAACTGGATGGGCTGCTGTACTAACACTCCGACCATAGACATCCACTTTCTGATCGAAAGCCGCCACCTGGGTGCCCTCTGAGCCTTGCTTGTGTTAACAAGCCGTACCCGCTTTGTCCAGGTTGGCCAGGGGTGCCCGTCTCCTGGTGGGGGTCATGGGGGTTAATGGAAGTAAAGGGTCCACCCGGCTAATGGTAAAAGGTTACGCAAGCTGGTAACCACTTAAGCAGTCAGCGCCAAGTGCCAAATGGAAACCAGCTGTTGCCTCTGGATTTGAGTAGAAGATTCTGCCAGATCCCCTCCCACAGAACGGAAGGATACTACAATGGGATGTCCTCGGTGACGAAGGCCTTGACCTGGGGAGGAACCAGAACGTCAGTCCCCAGCCAATCAGGGGCAGACTCCGCCCCCCCGCCCAAGGATCCCCACCCAATCACTGCCAGGACCACGCTACACACACCACCAACCCCTTGCCCAAGAGTTCCGGGAAGACAGATCCAGGCTTTCCTTCTTGGAAACTCACCTCCTTCAGGCGATTCAGCTGTCATCCCCCACAGGTCTGGAGGGAGGAACAAAACGGGTTAAGTCAGGGTCTGCACGTCCCCAAACACCCTCAAAGCTATCCACTGAGGTTCGATCAGAAAGTGGATGTCTATGGTTGGAGTGTTAGTACGGCGGCCCATCCAGTTCGATCCCCAGCATCCCATATGGCCCCCCTCCACTCCCCCCACCCCAGCACCAGGAATAATTCCTGAGTGCAGAGCCAGAAGTGTAGAGCCAGGAGTAACCCCTGAGCATCACCGGGTGTGGCCCAAACCACAAACCACAGCCTTTCTGCAAAATGCTAAAAAAAAAAAAAAGTGGTGTTGTCAGAACAGCTGTTTCTAAGGTTGGAGGGTGACTGAAAGGAACAGCTGTACCCCAGGTTGGAAGAAGGGAAATCACTAGAAGGCCAAAAAGGGAACTGTGCAGATGGGGAAACTGAGGCTAAGGGGCACCAGGGGAAGAAAGGAGAAAGGCCAGAGAGATAAAGGGCACAAGCAGATTTGAGATGCTTGTCTACATTTAATCTACTCCCAATGCTCAGACAACAATGGTCACTACTCCCCGCAGGCAGCGGAAACCTGGTCTGGCCGTTGGTCCCTAGAACTTCAGGGTGGAGGAACAGCACGAAGCAATAGCTCGCAAGTGCCCTGGAGTTCCGCCGCGACGCAGACATGCCATATGGCTCCTACCCACTCCATGCTCAGCCCATCCCTGCCGTCCATGGCCTTCTATACCCACCATCTGGCTGCTTCTACCCCAGATGGGAGGACAAGAGGGTCCCTCTCTGCTCCCTTAAGGGGAAACCACCTCCTAGGCAGAAAACTAGACACACTTGTGGGATTTTTTTTTTTTTTTGGTAAGACCAAAAACTAAAGGCTGTGTTGCTGTAGGGCACACAGCAAGGCAGGAACTCTAGGAGGGAAATTTCATGGAGGCTGGGGATTGCTGCAAAGAAGTGTTGATAAGGCGGCGATGGGTGACGAAGGTTTTGGGGAGGGGTCAGAGCAGCACTTCCCACCCCTGCCTCCTTCCCTGGCCCCCCGCATTGGTGTGGGGGTGCACCCTGGAAAGCCTTCCCTAAACCGAGCAAAGGGAGAGACCACCCGGAACTGGGTGGGGAGGAATTCCGGGTAAACGTGGAGTGATGGGGGATGGGTTGCCGGGCTCCAGCGGGGGCGATTCGGAAGCCCCGCAACCCGGGCAGCTGGGGAGGGATTCGAATTTCCAGGCCGCAAGATGCGGTGGCTCGCTCGGGCTTTCATGATGGATGCTCGGGAGCAGAAGGAATCGTCCCAAGTCTGCACCGAGGGGGGCTTGGGAATCGGGGAGCGTCCTCAGGCCAGCGTGGACGTTCCTATGCAAAGGGGCCGCTGGGCTCCGAGCTGGTCCCGGGGGCTAGGGCCCGCGCACTCACCTCTACCCGGGCTCGGGCCAGGCCGTGCAGACGGCTCCAGTCGGGCCGGAAGGTGGCTGCGGAGGCCGCGAGCGCCGCAAAAAGCAGCAGCAGCAGCGGCTGCAGAGGCCTCGAGAGGAGCATCGGAACCCGGCGGGAAATGGGCGCTACGCGGGGGAATCGCCGCTGCGCCACGTCTGGGTCGGCGGCTTTGGCCGCGGCTGGCCCCGCCTCCACTGGGGCCACGCCCCCGCGCTGGGTCTCCACCCCGACTGGCCCCGCCTCCACTGGGGCCACGCCCCCACGCTGTGTCTCCACCCCCGACTGGCCACGCCCACACTGGGCTGGCGTCAGCCCGGGTAACTAGCTCGGGCACTTTTCTGACCATCAGTGACCAGTGCTGCGTGTCCACGCTCCCTCTGCCGACCGAGACCAAGGATGCTCTCCGGCTGAGACCAGGCAGTACTCGCTCAAGCCGGCAGAGGGCGGGATCCGCACGGACAAGCGAGTTTCTGTACAGGAAACTCTGAGGGAAACTGAGGCCTGGGGGAGTCTTTGTCTTTTGTATTACGCCGCACAAAATTCTTTTTTTTTCTTTTTCCATTTTTATTTTTTGATTGAATCATCGTGAGCTACAGTTACAAAGCTTTCATGTTTGAATTTCAGTCAGACAATGATCAAACACCCATCCCACCACCAGTGTACATTTTATTTTTTAAAATTTTATTTTAGTGAATCACCCTGAGATACAGTTACAGACTTAGAAATTTTCGTGATTATGCTTCAATCAAACAATGTTTGAGTACCCCTCCCTCCACCAGTGCCCATTCTCCACCATCAATGTTCCCAGCCCTTCCCACCCCCTGCCTCCATGGCAGACACATTCCCTCTTTCTCTCTCCTTTGGGGTGTTATGGTTTGCAACATAGGCACTAAGCAGCCATCATGTTTGGTTCATAGCCTACTTTCAACATGCATCTTAGCATCCCGAATGATCCCTCCAACCATCATTTGCTTAGTGGTCTCTTCTCCATCCCACCTGCCTTTCCCCCCAGCACATGAGATTAGCTTCCAAACCGTGGGGCCAACCTCTTGGCCTTTATCTCTACTATCCTTAGGTGTTAATCTCCTATTATGTTACAAATGGGTCCTGTCATTCTGTGTCTGTCACACTCTTTCTGACTCATTTTGCTTAGCATGATACTCTCCATGTTGATCCACTTATATGCAAATTTCATGGTTTCATCTTTTCTAACAGCTGCATAGTATTCCATTGTGTAGATATACCAAAGTTTCTTTAACCGGTCATCTGTTCTCGGGCACTCGGATTTTTATTTCAGATTCTGGCTGTTGTAAATAGTGCACCGCACAAAATTCTGATCAGGTAGTCAGAGGGAGAGGGAGAGACACAGGATGGTGTCTCTCCTATCTGGGATATGAAGAAACGTTGTAGGGATGAAAAAACATGCCCAAAGGCAACAGTCAGGGATGTTGCCTTTGTCCAATATGACATTGGTGGCGAGAAGTGGTCGCTCTGGAGGAGGACAGAGTGCTGAGAGGAGGTATAAGGTGCTACCATAGAGGCAGGCGGGGGGAGGGGGGTGGGGCGGGAGGGAAACTGGGGACATTGCTGGAGGGAAGTGAACATAGGCAAATGGTATTGAAACATTCATGAAACTCAGTCAGGAATAATTTGGTAACTTTGTCGCTCATGGTGATTCGATAAAATAAATTTTTAAAAAGAATTTTCCCCCCGTGGGACACACTTAAAAGGGATAAGACATAAAGAGCACAATATCCTGTGATAGTGCCAGCTTTGTGTGATTTCATTCTTTATCTTACAGAGACCCAGGTTAGGAAACAAGTTTGAGAGTTCAACCAGGGGCCCCAACAATAGGAGAGGAAGCAGGGCACTTGCCTAGTGTGGGTCAACCCTGGTTCCATTCCTGTCACTACATACGATATCCCCCGAGGCCTGC